CCACCGTGGAAGTCCCGGATCACCTCTGGGGGAAGGCTGGGTGAGAAGCTGAGCGAAGCTTCTCTGCGGCCTCCCGGCGCTGCACAGAGGCTCTTGCAGGAGCGCATGTCAGCAGCCGGCGGCCTGGAGCGGCCCCGGCTGCAAGACAAGGGAGCGCTTAAAGCAGCCGCTGCCGCTGCCACCACCCCTCCTTCACCCGGAAGAAGCTCGAGCCTTTACTAACTGGATGCCCTTCCTGACGCCTATGCAGAGTTCACAGCAGACAATTACTCATTGTGCCCAGAGAGAAATATCTGCCACTTCCTAGGATCGAGCTCACAGCCTCCTGATTGTGAGGTGATAATTCCACCTCTAGGCCACTGTACTGTTCTAAACGATTTTTGTATGCCAAGGATATAATTGGACAACCATGACAAGCACATTCTAAAACTGTTTCATTTGCTTGGAAGTTGGGGTGGGGGAAAATAAAAGATATGGGAAAATGCCTTCAGGGTCTCCAGGACTAGTATCTCTAATGGCAATTTTTGATTTGCAGCTTGACCGTTCGGGACTTGGCTTAGGACAAGGAGCTTGCAGCACATGAAGATGACTCAGGGAAGAGCCAAGGTGTGCAGGCAAAGGAGAGAAAATGCTTTTGCAATGGGAAAGGCACAGACTCACTAATTGCCCTGGTACTTCCTTCGCACAAGTAACTGGGTTCATATTAAAGCCATTGAGAAGTGTTCTGATTATCCTTTGTGTGCTTCAGTGGGCATTCTAATTATCTTTTGACCAGCAAGGTAATAGAAGTCTGATGTTAAAAGCCTCTCTTGTGTGTGCATACACACGTGCTTATTTGATGTATTACAATTTCTTAGTAGAGAGATTGCTGCCACTTTTTTTTTTTAATTTGCCTTCCGGTGTGAGTTCAACAATTTCCACTTTGAATGTATAGCAACATTATGCCACAGTTATTTTCTGTTTGGTTTTGGTTTATTGGATGCTACTTTGAGATGTGGATGCTGTTTGCAAAAATCCAATAATAAAATGTTACCAAGTTACCATGCAAGCAATTGATAAGAGGTAACCCAATATTACAGATAAGTGGGAGAAATGTCTCTACGTGTCTCTCTCCGTTTTTATTTCATAATCATATTGCTTAAATTTTTTTTTTTTTTGGGTTCCTTTTTTATTTGGTAGCCAATCCTGTGAGGAGTTTTTTAAAAAGGAATTGTGTCTGTTGTTTTGTTAATGTGATTTCATGTCTAGGTAAATTCAGCCAAGCCATTGATCTCAGCAGTGCAAATTACTTAAGAGGAGGGAAAAGTGATTAACAGAAGAATTGTCAGTGTCACTTTTTTCACTATTTTGATGGTTACTAACTGCCAAGATAATGTGAACAAAAATTAAAATAGATATTGGAGCTCAAGGTGTGTACAAATGAAGAGGCAGTGTAGTGTGTTTAAGTGCAATGCAAAACATCTATTATCTCTCTTCATCCACGTGATAAAATACATATCTGGTCTTGGGAATAGGAAGGGATGAGTGAACTGTAAAGGGTGGTCATTCATAAAATATTACTCAGATGTGAGAAATAAGGAAACACGAGAAAGAAAATCAAAATAACGCACACATACAAACTAACTTTGCTCATTATAAGATATAGTACAAAGGAGCTCTGACAGTTTTCAAGATTCTGTTCTTATTCTCTAGAATAATAAAGATAATTTTAAGTGATCCTCAGTCTCATTTCAAAAGAGTTGAAGTTATAATGTCATCAGATAATAAAATTATTTGGCAGAAGTGATTCCTCCCTTTCCACATAGCCTGCTTGGTTGACAGGGAAGAAGGGGAGAGGCAGAAGGAGAGAGAAGATATCAAGAAGATAGAAATAAAATGGGAGATCAGGGTTGCAGAGAAAATGGATGGCTTTAATCCTGCAGAGAGCTTGCTCCCGTCCCATCCACTACTGTCGTGTGGGCCCCATAGTTTAATCTCCCTGGAAGTAGAAATTGTTCTACTTCCTGCCCTATAGTTCATTCTAAACCGTTGCTTTTCCTTTCCTTGTTGTTGATGGTCATAGAATATTTAATCTCACATTTTCAGCATTCAAAACAGCTTACAAAAAGAAGGACCAAAATGATAAATACGAAAGCACACTTTGCATACGATCCTAACGAAAACAACTTTAAACTAACCCTACTGAACCACTATTGTTTGCGAGTTCACTGTGTTTTGGAGTGTGGTCATCATATTGGAATGGGGATTTCTGTTTTTGGAGAATAAGATAAATATTTTGCAGGCTTTTTAAAAAGTACAGATGCATATCTATTTTTTTTTAGCATACAACAAATTGTAAACACTGTAGTACAATTCCATTGAAGGCAATGCACAGTGTATTACGTGGATATTCTCTCCTTTAAAACATTTAACCTGATGTGTTAAAATTCATTTCCCAAAATCATTATCCAGTATCCTGGCATGTTAAGGAAGATTGGTACACATAGTTGCCTGGGAGTAAATCAGATTCAGTATAGCATTTCTGAGCAGCTGAAGCTAAAGCTCCACTTGGAGCTTTGGACAGTTAAGTATAGAGTAAAAATTACTTTATATTTAGCAATAGCAATAGCAGTTAGACTTACATACTGCTTCACAGTGCTTTTACAGCTCTCTCTAAGCGGTTTGCAGAGTCAGCCTATAGTCCCCAACACTCTGGGTCATCATTTTACCCACCTGGGAAGGATGGGAGGCTGAGTCAACCTTGAGCCTGGTGAGAATCAATCTGCCAAACTGCTAGCAGCTGGCAAATCAGCAAAGTAGCCTTCACTACTGCACTCTAACCACTGCACCACCAAGGCTATTTAGTTTATTTACTTTATGCATTTTAGCTCCAGTACTTAAAAACTAAACTGAAAAAAAACTACATAGATGTGCGATGTGATTGACAATGAACAATTGTATCTCCTTATTTTTCCTAGTAGCATAAATTGCTGCCTTTGTTAGGAACTGGAAGGCAAACTTCTTGCAGAGAACTCTTAGATGATCCACTTTGGTTGCATGCTTGATGCAGCCAAATGACTGTTGGGTCTTTTGTGATGCTGTGAGGAAGTGAAAAAAGTTACATACACTTACACCCCAGGTTTCCATGTGGGCTGCTGTTTTTGGAAACGAAGCTGGCTTTGTATTCTTTATGCTCTATACGAGGAGTGTCAAACTCAAATTCATTGAGGGCTGCATCAGGGTTGTGCTTGACCTTGGGGGGCTAGGGGTGAATATGGCCAGGGTGGGTGCGACCAACTCATCATCACTCGTCAAGGCTCCGTTTGTGGCCATGACAGCCTCCTGTAGCCCTCTGCCAGCAAAAACAGAGCCTGGGAGGCAGGGGTGGGTTGCTACTGGCATTACTGCTGGTTCGGCATGCAAAAACTTTGCATTAGAAAAGGAAATTTCCATTAGAAAAGGGGGAAAAAATACATTTTTGGAATGAAGATTGTTCTGTGCATGCCTAGAACCGAAAATCAAGATGGCGTCGCTGGTCCGAACGGATTCAAACTGGTAGGAACCCACCAGTGGTGGGTTGCAGGCAGTACACCCCAATATGGGTGTACTGGTGCCTGCTGTGAGCACCCTGTACCATTCTGGTACGGTGCTCCGGAGGGCCCACCCGCCCGCCCAAGCTCCTTACCTGTATTTGAGCTCTTCAGTGCTTCCGCACACAGAGTGTACAGCGCCTGCACGACACTCTGCCAAGCAGCTGGAGGTTGCGGAGGCATCGTAGAGGTAAGGACACGTGCACGTGTGCGCATTTGTGCATGCATGCATGTGGGGGACATTCGGCCCCATTGCACTGTACTGGTTGCAATGGGATCCGAAACCCACCACTGGAACCCACCTTGGCTGGGAGGGCTGCGTGTGGCCCTCCAAGGCTCTGTTTTTGCTGGCATAGGCACCACAGGCTGGTCCTTTGCTGTTTCCAGAGCGGCCCTGCAGGCCAGATCTAAGCACCCTGTGGGCCGGATCTGGCCCATGGGTCTTGAGTTTGACACCCCTCTCTATACTTTAGAACTGTGGGCATCTTGTAAGCTCATCTGTTTGGTAGTTCATTTCTTAGGCTGTTGCTCCACTATGAGATTTCAAATTCTTATAGTGTAACTACTAAATATAGAGAAGAATCAAGTAATTGGTGCTTGCTGAATGATGTGAGACAACTTAACCTTATGCCATGGGTTTTCAATCTTTTGAAGCCAGTAGGCATATTTAACCTTGGCATATTTAACCTTCGGAAAGCATGGTATGGGTGAAATTCCCAAAATGGTCCATATGCAAGTGTGGTTATTCATACAATGACCACTGCATGGAAATGACAAACCTTCCTCAAAAAAAAATAAAAAAAAAATTAAAAAAAAATCTGCATCACAACACAAATTTTGAGGGTTTTTAAACAAAAGCATTTCAATCATGTCACATATTAAAAATGAAGGAGATAATATTTAAAACAATACCAATTGTCCTACCTAACTAATAATTACAGGAAATAATAAAATAATGGCAATTTGAACAAAATTAAAAGAATTAAACAGATTTAAAACTTCAGGGGATGAATAACACTGTCTTATGCCTGTATGATGTCTGACACAGCATACCATCTCCAAGTTTACCATAAATTAGTTGCAGGTAGTTCTCAATTTATTACCATTCCTTTAACAATCATTTGAAGTTACAATGGCATTAAAAAAAAGGTACTTACGATCATTTTTCACATTTACAACAGTTGCAATAGCCCTATGGTCACACGATCAAAGTTTGGATGCTTGGCAACTGGTTCACATTTATGATAGTGAACGCAGTGTCCCAGGATCAAATTCATTTAACAACCATGTTACTAATTTAACAACTGCAGTGATTCATTTAACAACTGTGGCAAGAAAGCTCACGAAATGGAACAAAAGCACTTAACTGTCTTGCTTAGCAACATACATTTTGGGCTCCACTGCAGTCAGAAGACAAGGATAACCTCTTTATATATAGAGACAGTACTTTTCAAACAATTGTTTCAGTGCCTTTGAGTAAGACATTCCATTTCTTTGATGGATTTCATTGCTGAAAAAAAGGAAGTCACAAAAATTTGAGCTTTCTAGCAGTGTCTCTCATCACCACCCAATTCCAAAAGTCTTCGTGAGTTTAATTTGGGTGGTAATGAGAGACACTATCACTGAAGACTGGTTTGCATTAGTATGTATTTTCTTAAAGAGCACTGGGAAAGAAGGAGTGTTAAATATAAAGGCAGCATTCCACCACTGTCAAATTACAAATAAATATACATCATTATTATTTTATTCTGCCTAACAATATAAAATAAAATTTATCACCGATTTAGGAATGACACGCATTTCATTAGCAGACACAGTATATTCAACCTGATAAAACAATTTCAGTAGCTGGATAATTTGATGTCCCCACTGAGAAAAAACCCAGTAGTAATTAATCAGTTCCCAACTGATTTCCCAAGGAAATCTTTCAAAGGATTTGTTGATTTGAGAAGACAACTCTTATCTCACCTCTCCTAGAATCAAGTCTGGTAGAGAATCCAAATCATTTGCCTCTTAATTTTCATAAAGGTGTTTGTCTTTGTTGTATTTTATTTAATACTCCTAAAAAGAAAATGCTTTGTGTACAAACTTTTTGAAGGGTTCTTCAGATAAGTTGGTAGAACCTGAGTAGGAAACAGCAGAGCAATGCAGATAGTCCTCACATATCCACCACTCATTCAGCAATCATTTGATGTTACAACACTGAAAGAGGAGACTTGCAACTGGTCCTTGAAGTAGCAGCTGTTGCAGCATCCCTACTGTTATGTGATTGTGATTTGGGGACTTGGCAACCGGCACACATTTATGATGATTGCAGTATCCCATGGTCTTGTTCTTGTCATTTGCAACCTTCACAGAAGGCTTTCAACAAGTTAGTCAATTAGGAAGTCACAACTCATGATATGATGCCATACTTAATGATCCACAGTGAATATCTTAACCACCACTACGTTGGCCATGATCACATGACATTTACTTTTCACCTGATAGTAATAGAGTTGCCAAGCCCAAC